ACACAGATTACTTGTTATTTACAGTGCTGTGGGGAGTTGCTTGCTATCTGGAAATGAAGACTGTTCCTAAGTTAAACTATTTAGTTTATTGTTAAAGTAAGACTTGATTTGGGGGTCAGAGTTAGGCTCGTTACATTAGGATGATTAGGGGTTGGTTTGAAATTCCAGTAAATGTGTATTTGAAAATGTTGTCAGCTGGCAAACAAATTTTTTAAAGTAAAGTGCTTTGTTTCCTGTAGTGGCTTTTTAAACCTGACATTGTTTACATCAGTACTGAAGGTGCTAACTGTGGCTGTTTGTACACTGTTGATATTTTTAGATAGTAATATTTGAAGATACTGTATGTTGTATCTCACAGTGGAATTGAGACTGGGTGTCTCAAAATGAGGTTACATTACTTCCTGTTTGTAACTGAAGAGCGAGCAGCCAGGTTTCAAAGTAAAAATAGACTACAACATAGTGCACCTCACTGACTGAAGGCAGTGGTGTCCCGTAGTCTGAGAACAATCGTGTCAGACAACGTGTGCCTCAAGACGGTTAGAACATGACAGGTAGGATCATAACTTCTGAGTTCTAAAATTATATTTAAATTTTCAACCTTGTATCTAATATTTCTACAGTGTACGTATCTGTGTAAACTGGATGTATCCCTGAGCATAGTTTTTCAAAATGTTGTTTTTGCCATAAAACAAAAGCTAAATCATTCCTAAAACATGTCACAAATATGGCAGAACAACTGGAAGATGAAAACAAATGTAACATTGAGTTGATGATCATGCTTTTAATGTATTTAATGGTATACTGCTCTGTTAATTGTTGTTCAATATCCACACATAGCCTTGTTTTGTTGGTGACTCACTACATGGTTATATAAGATGCGCTGTAAACCTAATTCCTGAAACACTTGACACTTTTTTTACCAATATTTTTTTTATTTACATAGAAATTATGATACATTTACAGTAAAACTCTGGTTACAATAAAAAAAATTAAAAATGTAGACGTTCTATAAACAGTACAATATGGCAGATAAACTTGTGGTATTACAATAATTTTAGAATGTCCATAACATTATGCATTGGTTCAACTTTCTCTGTTTTTCTAGCAATTTCACATCTCTGTAGTTCAATTGTTCAATGTTGTTGAATCGACTAATCGCATTTGTTTGTGACTAGCACAAAAGTGATGATGCATTTTAAAAATATTTCATCTTTTCTGTTAATTATCGAGATTTATTTATTTATTTATTTATTAGGTTTTTGGTAAACAAGCAAAATTAGAATTGCAATTATTACACAAAAAACTATGAGATGTGTAAATATTGTGATAAGAACTGATAAAAAATTAAGCCTGAAATTGAAGGAGAAGATTTGGAGTGCTAATAGTCAGTTTGTGTTTTAGAGTGTTGGACTGCACTGGCCCTGCTATCTCTGGCTTTGACTATCTCTGTGTGTCTCAACATTATCTTCTGCATCAGACGAAAAGCCACTTTGTGTAAAGGTACAACTATTAAGTATTTTAACTTCTTTAAAAGTTGTTACCATTGCCTCCAAACCTCTCAACCTTTACAAGGACAACATGGCGTTCTATAAATTGCCTAATATTTTGTTCACAGATGACTGCTGCTGCTCAAACATTTATGATGGAGAAGGGTATACTTTTTATTCACTTTATTAAAAAACACCTTCATTTGTTATAAGTAATGATCAGCATCCTGATATTTCCATTTTGGGCTTATCTAATATTTTACTGTTGAAATAAACTTGTGAAATTGTTCTTTCATATTTCCTTGAAGTCCATCGCAAAATGAGGGGCATGATTTTCATAACCGTAATCATCACGAGCTGGAGGAAAATCCCCATAATCATCATGAGCAACAGGAAAATCCAATCTATGGCAACATCAGCACAGAAAGAAGAGGTGAGCTCAGGCCTGTATTCTGCACCTTTCTGAAAAACATCAGTCACTCACTGCATTTTTTTTAGAATGCAAGTTCTTTACTGACAGTAGTTTTAATTAAAAAGTATTTTTGTACATGACACATGGTTTGTCTACACTTTTTGTTAATAATTATAATAGTTTGTATTTGTTTTATTGTATTTGTAGACAGCATATTTTTGTAAATGATATGTGGCCAAGTCTTAGAAATATTTAGAGTGTGTATTGAAACAAGCGGAAAGTTAATTTGGATCAATTCCATGCAAGTTGCATAAACAAATAACATAAATATAGTTTGGCATAAATAAATTCATTTATGTCAAACTATATGGACAAATTTTTAATTTGCCCCTGCATTTTAAATTCCTGTAGAGTCCCGATATTTAGCTGTTGTTTGCAGCTGTTTAGTCAGTAGCTGATCCTTTAAAAACCTAAATTGTCTTTTCTCATTTCTGTAATTTGTGTGCTTAGTTAAAAGAATGTAAAACTAATGGTGAAAATCATATGTTTTATCTGTTTCGCTTCAGTAGAGGTTTGCTATGAGATGATGACCAAGCAACAAATGAGAGATCATACAACGGTAATTGCTGAAATGTTATTACCTTATTACAATTTTTCTTTACCTGGTTTGTTTGCCATGATTTAGTTCTTATACAATTCCCACATTTTTCATTAGTATTGTATGTGTATCTGTACTCCATAATGTACTGTACTGTATGTTACTTTACATTTGGAAAAATGTCAAGTAGAAAAAAGACGGGAAATATAGCATGATGATTCTGTAGTACAAGGCTAATTTTGCACCTGCTTGATATTTTTAATTTTTACTTATGGATGACTTGAAATTGTTAGGACTTATTGTTAAAGGTTTGCATCCCTGGTAAGGAGGGCGAGATGTAGTGAATTTGACATGTAGGTAAAACGGATCTGGGAGCTGTTTTCAGTGTATAGCCATACTCTAAACCGACACATTTGGTAAATAATGGGATTTTAGTATATTTGTTCTAGACACACTGAAATTAAATGATAATGTCATATAAAAGTTCACAGGTAGACCAGTTTAACTCATGCTGACAGATTTGCTTTCTAAACGGAAGGTAGCTAGCACCATAAATGCATTGTGGTCAGTGAAACTGTGAAGCAGTGTACACAATTAAGCATGATGTTCTAAAAATAAACAAGACATACAAAACTATATGAGAAGCTCAGGCCTAGGATCCCACCTCAGCATTTATTTTAAACTAGTGCTGCAGGCTGTCTAAAAATGTATGTTGTACTGAGCAAATTTGTATCTGCTGTGTGAAACCAGTCTTTAGGGCCTGACCTGAATTATGCTTCACTGGATCTGAAGGTGGCAAAGAAACGCAAGAAGCATTGCCGTCAGCAGGGCCAGACTCAGGGGCGAAACAGCCATCAAGATCAGCTGCCCCCCATGAATGCTTTCTTGGAGCTGGAAGGAGACACAGACGCTCACCTTCCTTCCAAAGATATCAGCACCATGGTTTCACACAGCAGCATCTACCTGAACAGTCAACAGATAGCTCAAGAGACAGAGGAGATGGAGAGAGAATGGAGCATAAATATGGGGAGGGAAGACATGGGCTGGGAGGGAATAAGAAGGAGGGAGGAAGGGGGAAGTGAAGAATGGAAAGGAGAGGAAGATAGTGAGGAAAGAAAAGATGTTAGACAAGATGTTAGTAATGGGATTGTACAACTGTCAGAGGTACAGGCTATTCAGAGTGGTGCAAATCATTTCATCAGCAGCTTTAACCATGATAGTGACCAATAGGCAGACATACAATATTTAAAATGTTCAAAACTGTTTCAAAATGTTCAGAACTGAATTCTGGAAAAGTTAATAAAAGCTAATATCCATTAATGTGTCTGCAATAAGTTTCACACAGCTGAGCAACTTCCTCTTGGACGCGATGAAGCTACCTCTTAAACTCACCACATTGAGCAACTGAGGAACAGAAGTGTACCTCTCTGTGCAGAGGATGTAATAAACAGAGAATATGAAGAGAAAAGGAAACTGTGTGTGACATTTAGAGGTCAAGGGACGCATGGAAACTTTCGGTTTGTTGCGAAAGACAAGGAAAACATCAAATCATCATAGACTATGGAAGATCTTTCATTGTTTTCATGTCTGCTACATCATCGGATTTCAACGAGACAGGTGTGAAGGAAAATATCATGCATTTTCTATGTTACTGACTGTGGCTCAGCCCCTACAGACAATACTTTGTTGAAAAAATATACTTGCATAAGTACACACGAATGTCCTTCTCTGCTATGTTATTATTGAGATAAAACATTAAAGACAAAAATATTTAAAAGAGGAAGTGGAATATTAGTAATGTCATTTTATTTTCCATGGGGGCATATTGTTATGTAAATCTCACCCACAGAGGATTTTTTACTTTAAAGTTATAATAGTGGGCATTGTGTTTACAGTCTATTCCACATAAAAGCTGAGGCAATATTTGCTGAAATGATTGTTTCCCTCTCTGTAATCCCACTTGGGAACTATAATTTATTGTCCTGCTCTCTGCAGATGTAGTTGAGCTCTAAATTGAATTCAGCAGTCAGACTGGTCTTGAAACAGAACAGGAGTTAAATAATGTGGTATTGCTAACTGTTAGTTTTTTAATGATTCTGCTGAAGATTTATTTGCATTAGTCATATTTGTAAACACAGCAGTAAAACTGAAAAAGCCAGAGGTTGTACTAAACTAAAATATGTTAATGTAACAGTAATACTTTATTTAGGGTATATTAGCTTTTCAAAATTGCAGAAAAAAATAAGCCAGGTTTTCAGACAGTTCTGCTGAGGGTCATGTTGGAGCCCTTGGGTGGCCCCTTACTGTACTTCCGCCTGACTAGTCGCCTACACCTTTCAAGTCAGTTTCAGACTGTGTAAATGAACTTATGCAAATAGTCCAGTTAAGCCGAATTCAGCCAACGGACCACGCGGTTTAGGCTAAAAAGGTGTGGAGGCTTGATAAGGTGCTTATTTAGTCATGACCTTGAGGACTTTCTACCAATAAGAAATGTATGCTGAGAATTAGCGGGAGGGTGGTTTGTGGCAGAAGAAAACTGATAAGCTACAGTACAACGAGCACACACATGCACACCAACAATAGGAGGACCCCGCCAGACAGGCTCTAATTGAGCTCCCTCCCCTCTCCTCCTCTCCTCTCCTCCGTCTCCCCCAGGGCTGCTGGCTAACTTCTCGTCGACACACCGCTGCACTTCAGTTTATTTTGGACTGGATACATCGAGCAGCGAAGACATGGCTTTCCTGTACAGAACATTTCTGTCATCAACTATGACACCTAGAAATTTAATTTCATATACTCGTTCTATATTACTTGTTCTTCAGCACAGTAACAATTTGTTGACAGTTTTTCAATAGCTGACCTTGGCCTGCTTCCCATCTACAGATTCATTTTTGGCCCCAGGAGTTTTGGATCTACAGTAAAGGCTGCAGACATACAGGGTAGCCACGTACAAAAACATTCACATAACAGGCCACGTAACTGTCAATACTTACTCAGGCTCTACAGGCCATTGTACATTGTATACAGCCAGAGTGAATGCATAGGACAGAGGCATATATCAGGAAGGAGAATTATACTGTACATTGACAATGACATCTTAAAAGAAGATGTTCACAGCTTTTCAAGTCTGTGTTGTCAAACTGTGAACCTATTCTTTAATGCACAGAAATGAACTTAGTTTTCTCTAGTGAGCCCAGATGTGGCTCAGAATATTTTAATGTAACAACTAGACTATTGTGTTCAAGCTGCAATGTCATACTTCTATTGTATTGTGGTAATAAATGCTAGTTGGCAACAGGGGATCATTTAACTGCAGTTTTGATCAGTTTATAATGGTGATGTGCAATGTGATACCAATGATTCTGTGTCACAGTTTCTCTCAGCACTGTTTATTTTGGCCTGTCTGCCTTCTCCTGCCATTCTCTATCCAGCCTCCATATGTCCCCACAGACTTTCCCTCCATTCCCAGACCCCTGGCCTCCCCTGCCCACTTATATACCTGTTCTGAACTTTCTCGTCATTTCTCTCAATATTTATACCAGCCCCGTTACACCTTGTTGTTGTGCGTGTCTGTCTGTCATCAGTGTTTGCTATTCATGCTGTGGACCTCTCACCTGCCTGTCTGCTTGTGAGCCTGGGCATCATCATTTGTTCTATTAAAGTTATTTCACTGCACCTGCCTGTGTGTCTGCGTTTGGGTCCTCCCTGCCTGTGTGCCATCTGTCAGGAGATGACAAATAGTTCAACAAAACCAAATTTTCATTGAATTTCTTTTACCACATAATTGTTTTCTGTGGATTGTACATAGAAAACTTTGCTTAACTTTGGACTCATTGGGGATAGAACAAGAAGTAGTTATGGTGCATTTAGACAGATATACCTACTATCTTAACACATAACCAAAGACAGTGCTCAGTAATGTTCAATAAAGAAAACTGTTAGCAATATGACATGATTGCTATAGCAAATGTAGCTGATATTATAAACACTGTTTATTGGTCTGTCTGAAGATCTGAAGGCATGTGCACATAAATCAGGGAACTTGGAAAAGTCACCCCCCTTCCTAACTCAGCTTTTACACTTAAAGTGTAAAAGCTGAGTTAAACTTTACAGTTTAAACTGTAACTGCCACATAAAGGAAGCATTCCGTACCCCAACTGCCCAACATTCTATTTAGACCTAACTGCCCAACATTCTACAGGACTCCATAACACACCAAGAGACTCAACAGTTAGTTGGATCTACACTTGCTCGATATTCGACGCTATCGTGTTTGAAACTTTGTGGAAATCCTCATGGACAACATGTCTACCAGAGGGAGTATGATTCTCCATCATTCTAAGGGCATTAAACGCAAGGCCAGTCCTGAAAAGGACAGCCCCAGAAAAATCAAAAGGGTGGCCAAAGCCTGTAACAACTCTGTGCAAAATGGCATTTTGGAAAGAGAAAAGTGCCAAATCAGAGAAGATGGAGAGACATCCTTCTCAGTGGACACTGAAAAAGGTAAGCTCAACATGTGAAATTACAGTTGGCGCTGTATATCATCAGTTTATATTTCACATGAGGTTCAGATGTTGTGGATTCATTAGTACAAAAAGCTGAAAATTGTACATCAAGTAGGGTATAAAATACAGTCCATTTATTGTGTATTGCTCTAATAATACTTCAGTGGAGGTCAACCGGATTTCATTTTTGGCCCTCACAACATTTACAAATAAAAATTCAAAACCAGTCTAACCAGTCCCCTAGTTTGTCTGTAAATCCACTCAAGCAACACCATATCCAAGAATATCACATTTGTATACAGCTACTTTCCAAAAGCAAATACATTTCTTAAGAAACCTAACTGCAGTGACTACAATTACATTTAACCAAAAACCATGATCTTTCCTTAACCTTAACCCAAGTGCTTGTTTTGCCTAAACCTATACCAGAAACCAGAAAACACTACAGGCAAATTTCATTGGGACTATTTGTTATGGGGAAGAGAGAGAATGTCTCAACATCTACCATAAAAACTATTAGTACAGACAGATACCGCTAGAAGGATTGATTGATTATTTAAAGTTAGAAGCGCTCTTAAGCGTGGATATGTGCACTTCCTGAAATGATAACTTATTCCTTGACCTTATCAAAACACTTTGCAGATAAAAAAAAAATGTAATTTTGGAAGGCACTAGATGAAAGCCTGTTTGGTCATTTGCAATAGAGGACTTGTTATCCACGTTAGTGAACTGAGACCGTTGGCATGCTGATGATCCTCTGGATTTTTTCTCATGTGTAGAGAGCAGCAGCAACACCTCAGACGTCTGCAGTACATGGCTGAGCAAGACGAGCACTGAGAGGAAGGCTGCACATGATGGAGCAGGGTCATGCAGGAAAAAGAGGAGGACCTCTGACCTGAATGAGACCCAAAGAAAGACCACAGAGGACACTGTGGAGGAGACAACAGAGGACTTGACAGTAAATGTCAATAGATTTGAAGACAAATACACAGAGCAGAATCTGCTTGGTGAAGGAGGTTATGGCTCTGTGTTTGCTGGCTATCGCAAAGCAGATCATTTACCAGTAAGTGTTGCACACACCTCATATGCACACATACACACAATAGGGTCAGGAAGGACTAATTAAATTCCTCTGTGTGTCTTGTAGGTAGCAATCAAGCACATACCAAAAGACGATGACCTCCGCACAGAACTGGTGAGTACTGTAAATATCTGCTGTATTCTCCACTGCACATGGATTATTGGTGAAGCTTCTCTCCCTCATGTTCTTGTGATATTTCAGGATGAGAATGGGAAGGAGCTCCCTGTAGAAGTGATCATCATGCTCAAACTCACTGGTGAATCAGTGAGGGCACCTGTGTCCTTACTGGACTGGTATGACCTGGACCAGGAGCTCATCTTGGTGCTAGAGAGACCAGTCCCCTCTGAAGATCTCTACAGCTACTTAGAGGTCAACGGAGGGTCCCTAGAGGAAGAGAAGGTCAAGGTAAGCTGCTAGACAATGCTTGTGAATGTGTGTTTTCACCAATTATAGTAGTCAAAAACATCAGACCACTGCCTCGGAGTCCCTCCCTGCTTTCTGATCCATCATCTTTTTTGTCTGTCTCTCTCAGGTCATAATGAAACAGCTGGTTGACGCAGCACTAGACCTTCATAATATGGGCATCTTTCACCGTGACATCAAGCTTGAAAATATCCTGATTGAAACCGGCTCAGATGTCCCACATGTTCGGCTCATTGACTTTGGATTGAGCTGCTTCTTTGAGGAAACATCATGTTTTAATGACTTCTTTGGTAAGATGTCAGGCTTCTACCCCTGCTAATTTACTGTTTGGTGACTTTACACTGAATCAAAGTTTCTTCGTCTCCTCATCCTCATTGTCTTATTATTATGTCTATCGATTCCAGGTACCGCTGCTTTTGTCCAACCGGAGTACCTCAGTAATTTCACCTACAAGGCCGGCCCCACAACAGTGTGGCAGCTGGGATTGGTTATGTTTGAAGCACTCCACAAAAATGCACGGTTCTCGACCATCGGGTTTCTTAATCGCACGCTGAAAATCAGCAATGAGCTGTCCAATAGTAAGAAAAATGCACTGGTCCACAAACCTGTTCCGGGACACATATCTGTTCATTTTAGTTTAGTTCACATTCTGGTTCATTTCTGAAGTTGTCACCTTCATCTTTCCTCTTCTTCTTTCTCTCCAGATTGCCGGAATTTCCTGCTAAGGTGCTTGACTATTGTCCCGGATCAGCGTGCCACCCTAGAGCAGCTTCAGCATCACCCATGGCTGAAATGAAAGACTCATTTAAAGACTTTTGCACTCATTAATACTATTAAAGATTTTTGCATTCATTAATACTATTTGGTGGACTAATTATTGTATCAGCCAGATGGCTAGAAGAGTACTAACTACTGAGAGTTTGAAGGGGATTATAAACGTGCCTTCAGAACAACATTAGTATCTTAAACTAGTTCTTTTCATACTTATAAGTCAGTTAACTAAGAGAAAAGTCATACATCATACACAGCTCTACCAGATGCCCTTACCAAAAAAGAAGTATACCTCAAGTACATGTTATTAAGTATACTAAAGTATTTCCCCAAGTGTACTTTTATTTACCAAGTACACTGATTCAAATGTACTAGCAGTTTACTAACAAGTATACTTCTTGGGACTAAATTGGCCCACTTTAAGTTTATGAAAGTACACTTTGAAGTATACTTTAGGTAATCTTCCAGGTATACTGTTAGTTTACTCTTAATAAATTTCAAGTCTACTTTTAGTTTATGTAAGTACACTTTAATGTATACTGAAAGTAATCATCTTGGTATACTATTAGTTTACCATCAGTAAACTCTAGTGCCCATTTTAGTTTATGAAAATACACTTTGAAGTATATTGAAAGTAACCTTTTAGGTTTCCTATTAGTATACTAATAATAAACTTCTAGTCCTCTGGTTAGTGTACAAAAATACATTTTCAAGTGTACTACAAATAACCTAGTAATACCTCTAGCTCCTAAGTGACAAATATTGATTGCGGTATTTTATTGAGCTCAACTGAACAGTTCCAAATTTACACTCACATATTGCAAATCTAATTGCAAGATTTGCGATATTGTTTTTAAAACCAAGATTCAGTTCACAGAGCACATTTTAAACCTGTCTGGAAGCACTAACACTTCAAAAAAGACTAAAACATGAATTGTGAAACGTCCACAAGAATCACATACCTTTCAGAACAAGGGAAGCAGGTTTTAACCATATACAGTATTTGGTTTTGTGCAGAAATATTAAATGTCCAATGTCTTTTTAGTAGCAGCTTGCTTGTAGTTTTCATTGTTGCATTTTTTTCGGATTATTCTTC